TTAGGGCACCAGTGACAGATGATAAATGACAATGAAAGCAACTCAGTTGGCTAGTGACGAATTCATAGAGAGTTAATTAAAATGGTTTCCAAGGCGAACCGTGTGGAGGTCGACCTGATATATTAATATATATTGCTAGCAATGGGGCTGCTAGATCCCCATTAGTAACAATCCGTTTCCCCTGAAAGTATCTATTAGTAATAATAGATTTCTTTGCAAACTCCGTGAATCAAAACCATAGTGGTCGGTGGTGAATACACCATGATAGGCTATCTAACCTGACCGCATCCTCATCATTATGTCCTTCACTAGTTTCCAGCTATTTTACACAGGTTGATGTACAGAGGGAGACTTTGTACAAAAGTCGATTGCTTGGGTACCTCTGTCCCATTCGTGTTTCTACCGTGAAGCAGTTGTGTTTGCATGGCTGTGTTTCGGTTTGAAGGCTGGGATATGGCGTGAATTTACTGGGTACAGAGGAATAACATCTAAGTCCTCAGGAATGGCAACGCATGGGGGGTGTCATGAGCGAAACAGTATACTTTGTTATGTCCATGGTACTCATGTCTACAGGCGACAGTAACCACTTTCCATCAGGTGGACCGTCAGCTTGTTTGCCGTTCTAAGTTGTATATAAAAAAATTAAAAAAAAAACACCAAATTTCATAAAAAATAATTGAATCGTTACAGTACCAACCTTCTTATCATCATCACCATCATCACCTCATCCATTATCTGTACATCGCTGAACATATACTTCCTCCATAGACCACCATAAAGAACATGGATGCAGGTGATCAGGAAGTCACCTGCATCCACTGACTACCTGCAACGCATTTGACGCCGTCGCTCCGTCTAATGAGGGCTCATCCTACACTACGTTTGCCTATACGGGGTCGCCACTCAAAAACCTTTCTTCCCTCTAGGTTGTCAGTTCTTCAAGCTATGTGACCTGCCCATGGCAGTATCATACAAACACTAATTTTCTCTTTTGTAAATCTTCTATTTAATAATAAATAAATAAATAATCATTATGATCAATTTTAAATATATTTTACTACATAAAAATATATATATATACTAAAAAATAAATATATAAAAATATATTATATGTAGGTACATAAGACAGCAATAATTTTGTTGTACATTTCCTATCTAAGCTATTCACTATACGCGTTCACTTACCTTCACACAAAGGTTCCTCTGCTGCCATGTGTTTTATGACGTTATTAATTTAATATTGTAACTTTAATGATATAATTTTACATTAATGGTAGAGCTCATTAAAATGTATTTTTTATTAATAATTTACTTATATACAAAATATGGTAATTTTTGTATAATGCTTATATTTATTTAGCTACAGTGCATATATTTAGTAAAATTATATGTACTATTATTTTATTTATTTTAATCTTTAATATAATAATAATTTTGCAGTCCATATCATCCTAAGTCTCTACCAACGCATAGGTTTTTTTTAATGGGTTTAAATGGATTGGTTACCCCACCCGCGCTATCAGTATACACCGACGGGGCACCGGTGAAAGATGATAGGTGAGAATGAATGCAGGTCAGTTGGCCCACCATGATGAATTCGACAAGAATTAACCGTGATGGTTTCCAGGGGGAACCGCGTGGAGGTCTACCTGAGAGGGTCAATTGCTAGCAATAGGGCTGTTAGACCTCACTACTAGCAATCCCTTTCCCCTCCATAAAAATATAGAGTCTCTATTAAAAACATAATATTTCTAGACACAGCAATTTCGACTAGTATTGTTTATCCTATGTTCTAAATTAGAATATACAATAGAATTTAGATTATCCGGATCCAGTAATCAAGGGTATTCCGTATAATCGAAAATCCGAATAATAGATTTTTAAAGTTAAATGAAACGATAATTAAATTTTAATATTTTTTTTATTATTATGTAAACATACGTTATTTAGACAATAAGATATAAAAAATTATGAGCTGTAAAGATAATGGATTACATAATACTTATATAATTAAAAATTTTGGTTGGAAATAATTAACTTAATAAATCACATATTTTCATTGCGGCCAAGTCCCTGGTGCGCTTCAGTTGTAACAACTGTATCGGATTCGAATAATCCTGTCTTGTCCGGATAATCGAGATTCCACTGTAATGTATCCGCGTACCAAATTTTATTTAAATCCCGTCTACTATTTAAGAATTATAATTTTTTTTGTAACTCCACCTGCGCTATCGGTATACACCGGCGGGGCACCAGTGAAGGATGATAGGTGAGGATGAAATAGGTCAGTTAGCCCACCGTGACGAATTCAACAAGAATTGTTCACGATGGTTTCCAGGGCAAACCACGTGGAGCTCGATTTATTACTAGCAATGGAGCTGTCACATTTCATTGCCAACTATCCCTTCCCCCTAGCATTATAGAGTAACGAAGCTCGTTTCACACTCATAAACTTTCACGATTACAATATTTTAGTGGGATATTCGGAACCATTGGCGTTAAGTGATGGACAGCACATCACTACGCGTTACAAGGAGCACACGAGCGAACGTTTACGTAACCCAAGTTTAAGGTCGACTAGATTCGGCTGGACAAGTTGCACGGCGAGCGACACCCACGTCACGCCGCGCCGCCTCAATGGCCACACGCCGGAGGCGTATTGATATGCATAATTTCACCCACTTGGCTCGTAAAAACCGTGTTCGTATTTGTACAGGGCCGTCACACTGTCAATGTAAAGTGGACTCCGTTGTCCATATTTAGCCTTGAATTTGCGCCGTTGCGAAGCACTGACTGTAGTCCTTGTATCCTCTTATTTTTTTATTGTTAAGAAGCTACTGCAAGCTGACCATCCACCCCGGAGGGAAAGGAATTGCCAATAATCAAATACTAGAAATATTTTCAGGTCGACCTTCACGCGGTTTCCCTTGAAAACCACTATAGTTGATTCTTGTTGAATTCGTCACGGTGGACTGACTGGCCTGATTTCATTCTAATCCTTATCTTATACCACTGGTGCCCTCTAGCGTATACCAAAAACGCAGGCGGAGTTATCAGATCATTTTCATCCATAAAAAAGACTGTTCGCTCCGTAGTATACTTTTTTTTACAACAGGGGGCAAACGAGCATGCGGCTCACCTGATGGTAAGTGACTACCGCCGCCCATGATCACCCACAACACTAACGGCATTGCAGGTGTACTGCCAGCCTTTTAAAAAGGAATATGTTCTTTTCTTGTTTGTAAATGTTTAACAATATAAGAGCATTAAATAAACCCATCTCTTCGTTCGAAGTTTTTTATACCACAAAGGAGGCAATGGGAGGAGGTAGCTTATGGACACCTGAAATACTAGGAATGTCACGTGCGCGTTATCGACCCCAAGGAAATCTTAATGTACTCTTTTTGAAGAACCCCCTCCTATAGTCTCTAGGGAAAACCTCAGCAGGGATCTCCTTCCACAGCCTGAGCCTTCGCGGAAGATTCCTTCGTAACCGCACCGTACGTGATAATTTTTTTTTGATGGGTGAAAATGGTGTGGTAACCCCGCCTGCGCTAACGGGATACGCTGGCGGAGCACCAGTGAAGGGTGATAGATGAGAATGAAAACAGGCCAGTTAGCCCATCATGATGAATTCATCAGGAATTAACCGTGATAGTTTCCAGGGGGAACCGCGAGGACGTCGACCTGGTATCAATATACCCATATTGCTAAGCAATGGGATTCTCAGTCTCCATCATTAACAATCCCTTTCCCCCTGTACGTAATCATATAGGTTCAAGCGTGTGAGGATGAATTCCCTGTCAATGGCGAGCGGTGCGATGATAAAAGTTGGCTGATCATTTCAAACAATTCCTCAAAAAAAAACAATTCGTTATTTCTGTATAATGGATTGTGTTCTGAGAAACGGACTATGTCTTTAATCTCAGAGTCTAAACTTTAAACACAGAATTACTGTATCTGCATGTTATTTTTGTTATATTATTATTTTTATTGTGTGAAAAAATATAGTATCTAATGTTAATTCACGGCCAAATAAAGTCATGATTCATAAAGCCGTCGCTGTAAATTTAATTATGCAGGTAAGTAACAAAAATACATTTGTAATAAATTAATGTAATTAAAATATAGCACTAGCTTTTACCCGCGGCTTCGTCCGCGTAACCGGACCATATGATCACTGACCAGGCTAAAAATCCTATGATGTCCTAGAAAAATCAATATTTGAATACTAAATTTCATACAAATTTATATAATTATTTGTGTGTAACAGCGTCAAACAATTTTACATTTATAAACCACAGTAGGAATAGAATTATAAAATATTTTAAAATTAATAATTACAACGATTGATAATTTAGATATATTTGTTATATTAATGAACTATTCAGAAACCAATAATTATTGGTTTCTGATTTGCCTTTTGGCTGATCCGTATTTTGCCTGATTATAATCAGGGTAGATGTCGTTCAACTGTCACGTGACCGCTGACTGGTTGGTTTATAGCGTTCATAATACAAATTAGCAAGGCAGTTCAATTTACGCCGTAATCTGCCTGGAAGTAAAAGTTCATAATACGACCCCAGGTATCTGGAAATAAGGTTCAACGTTTCATATAAAATAAACCTTGCGCAAACAAGACACCTGTGGGGGGAAAGGGATTGTTAGTAATGAAGACTGAGAATCCCATTGCTAGCAATATACCCAACCAGGTCGACCTCCTCGCGGTTCCCCCTGGAAACTATCATGGTTAATTCCTGACGAATTCAACGTGATGGGCTAACTGGCCTGTATTCATTCTTATCTATCACCCTTCACTGGTGCTCTGCCAGCGTATTCCGTTAGAGGCGGGGTTACCATACAATTTTCACCAATAAAAAAGTCACCTGTATCATCGTCATATTAACGCCATCTGTTATTGAATAGAATAACTAATAAATTACTGTAACTTGGTTACATCCAATATCGACAAAATATTTAACTAAAAACATATGACAGCATCGAAGGCGTATTTATTTTAATTTGAAATTAAAAAATCTGTCATGGACGATCAAGAGAAAAAAATTAGCGCGCTTTGTTTGGGACCAAAGGGGTCAGGTAAAACAACTCTTATGAAGAAATTGCAAGACGCCGAAGGTATAGACAATACATATAGTCCTGTGTCGACAATTGGAACAAATATTTACGACATTTACTACTTGAACAAACATGGGAAGAAACAAATGTTGACTGTGAGAGAAGTTGGCGGCGAGATGGCGCCACTGTGGAGTAATTATTTAGACGGAGTTAATAAAGTAAGTAATTTATATTATATATGATAATTCAATTTTTTTTTTAACAGATAAAAATGGAATGGTAACCCCGCCCGCGCTATCGGTATACACCGACGAGGCACCAGTGGAAGATGATAGGTGAGAATGAATGCAGGTCAGTTGGCCCACCATGATGAATTCGACAAGAATTAACCATGATGGTTTCCAGGGGGAACCGCGTGGAGGTAGACCTGATAAAGTACATTGATGGCAATGGAGTCTAACCTCCCTATTGCTAACAATCTCTTTCCCCCATTATACACTATTAGAATACGCGAGTGCACCATTCTATATTCATTTATTAAATAACATTGTGTTACAAAAAACGACTTCAAAATCAGTTATTTTGATTTATAAACTAAACTACCGAATCGATTTTGATCAAATTTCTACGAGACCAATCTGTAAGTATACCTTTTTAGATAAAAAAAAATCCAAATCGGTTTGTAACCGATTTGAGAACCTCCAATTTCAAGTCATTTAAAAATCTAAGAACAAGGAATTACATAGAAGGAATAAAAAAATAAAAACTGTAAATCGTATGGTTGCCTCCTTTCTTCTTATGCAAATATAATTAGTAAAAAGAGGATGAAAGATACACCATCAGTTGCTATTTTTCTCAATTCATAGCAGACTAGTGTATAGAAAACGTTTGTTATGTCAATTATTTGTCAATGACAAATTTTACATTACTGGATTATATACTTCATACAGTTTATGTGGAAAGTATGCAAGCAGGTTGTATCTGAATTTGGTAGGGTTATACGGCCGTATAACATTTTCTATACACTAGCCTGCTATGAATTGACAATTTTATCACTCCTATGTAATTCCTTGTTCTTAGTTTTCAACTAAGATTAAAAATATAATTAATTACAGGTTATATATGTGGTAGATACTTCAAACCTCTGTCAGATATCGGCCGCCGCGGTGCTACTCTATACTTTGCTTGCCGAACCGCGCCTAAAAACCGCCAAGGTGAACATAACTCACGCACTAAAATGATTTATTATTTTATGCAATGTTTAATCGCCTGTAAATCATAAAGACAAATGTATGTATTGAAAACTAATTACTATTTTGATTGGCCTACCGTGTACATATACTATACCGTGTAGATATATTAGATAGATAGACATTTAGACAGATAGATATATAATTTAATTGCTTTACTTACAGCACACAAATAACGACGGGAAAGGGATTGTTAGTAATAGGGTCAAATAGCCCCATTACTAGCAATGTACCCTGTCAGGTCGACCTCCACGTGGTTCCCCCTGGAAACCATCGTAACTAATTCTAGTTGCTCCGTTGGTTTGCTTTGTATATTTTTTATATAATTATATTATCATTCTAAAACACCGTGTTGCCATACCAACATACAGTTTTTTCGTTCACAAATTGTAATCGACCAGCCAATGATAGATAGATAGATAGATAGATATATCGTTTATTTGTTTGTTACAAATCACACACAACATGTTTATAAGAATAGACAATACATAAAACAACATAAGATTTATAAAATTGTCTTATTATGTGTGATCTGCAGCAATACAAAAAGGTGGAAGCTCAGCGTGGAACATTGTTCAAGGAACAAAACACTGATTTTCAGCTTTAACCCATTTGAGGGTACGTGAAAATAATAATTAAAATAAATAAAATGATATGGACCTTCGCACAATAACGCTCAATAAAAAAAATGTTTAATGTTTTTTTAAAGACCCGAGAGGTTTCATTATGTAGTCATGGCATTCATCTTCTACTGAGAATGACTAAACAAGTTTTTATTTTTTTATTTTAATGCCATTGCATTGATTATCATTATAAACCCGCGCTAATAGTATGCGGTAGTGAGGCACCGATGAGGGATAATAGGTGAGGATTAATAGGCAGTTAGCCCATTGGGATGCAGGAATTCCAGGAGGATAGAATATCCAGGAATTCAGCACGACAGATTCCAGGGGAGACCAAGTGAAGGACTTGACAGGATATACTGCTAGAAATGGGACTGGTGAACTACCAGCTACCTCAAATACTAAAGCCGTGAACAACACCAACCGATAGGGTGGAATGAATATTAATAACGGAAACTAACTATCTAGCCCTTTGATAGCAAAGTACTCTGTCAGATTGATATGCACGCGGTCTTCTCAGGATATCTTTTTTCTTATACAATTTAGAATGGCAAACAAGCTGACGGCCCACCTGATGGAAAGTGGTAACCGTCGCCTATAGACATGAGCAGTACCATGGACATAACAGAGTATATTGTTTCGCCCATGATACCCCCCATGCTTTGCCATTCCTGAGGACTCAGGTGTTATTCCTCTGTACTCTATAAATTCACGCCATATCCCACCCTTCAAACCGAAACACAGCCATGCAAACACATTTGCTTCACGGTTGAAACACGAATAGGACAGAGGTACCCAAGCAATCGACTTTTGTACAAAGTCTCCCTCTGGTAAATACATTATATTATTACAGTTATTTTCTTTACCTATCCTAATAATGAATCCTAATCCTATCCTAATTATTTATTTTATTTATTTATTATCCTAATAATGAAGTACCACGTTCATTATTCATTGACCATCCATAAAAGTCGACTGGTAGAGATTGCTACTAGCATCAAGTTCGCCTTTTGTACTAAATTTTTTCATGGTAAATAAAGTTATTTAAATAAATAAATACATTTGTCATTACAGTTCATGCTAGTTCTGAGCAAAATGGACGCCGCGTACCGCCAAATGCGTAACGAAGCGTTACTCATGCTTCAATACGCAAGGCTTAGAGCTGAACTCAAGAACGCGCCGAAGTTGCTTGAGGCTTCACCCCTGACTGGCGAGGGAATTGACGAGCTGCGAGCATTCCTCGCCGAATCTAAGCAGACACCGCCAAAAGTTACTGCTTAGACACGGAACAAATAAAAAAAAATGTTTCTTGTTTTATTATTGTATATATTTCTATGAAGTTGGCGCTACCTGGTTTTTTTTTACAACACGGGCAAACGAGCATGCGGCTAATCTGATGGTAAGTGACTACCGCCGCCCATGATCACCCACAACACCAGCGGCATTGCAGGTACGATGTCGAGAGTTTATAGGCCAACTTAATTATTTTACTTATTTATTTTATTATAACACTTAGGTAGGCAAACAAACTGACGGCATACCTGCTGGATAGTGGTAACCGTCACCTATAGACATGAACAGTACTATGGATGACCATAGTACGTACGTACATAGTACGAAACTATACTCTGCTATGAAGCAGAGTATAGTTTCGCCCATGATACCCCTCATGTGATGCCATTCCTGAAGAAGCTATGAATCTGTACCCTATAATTTTTCGAAGACCTCTAACGTGGCTTACTGAACAACAGCTCATACCTATTTTGTATTTTTAACAGATGGCTAATTAGACTATCCGGTCTATTTGTTTAAATAATATTTGTAAGGACTACCAGCTCCATGATTTGCCCCATTGCTAGCACTATCATATCAGCCATTAACTGTGCACTGCTGAACATAAGCCTTCCCCATAAGGAGAGCGTTGCCAGTAATTGCCACGCCTGGTTGGCAGGTTGGCAACCGCCGTTAGGCTTTTAGAGATGTTTTAAGAGGGACGCTGCTGTCCATCCCTCTACCATCGAGTTCCTTTAATCGCTTCCTGCGCCATCCACAGGAGAGGAAAGGGTAGCCTGTACTATGTCGGAATCACACGGATGTTGCTATTGCTAGCACTATATTCTGTTAGCAAAACCTCTACGCGATTCCATTCCACCAATCAATCACATCAATTTTACAAATTTTGCCTTCGCCTACTCCTTATTAGTGACTAGATACCTATAGCCAACGCTACAGCGTAATTTTTTTCTTATCTGGACAAAAACTACTCTATCTCTCAAGCTCTCTTAAAGCAAACAATACAATTTTAAAAATCTTCAGTAAAATCACAGACATATAATAATAATTCTTTATCATGTCTGTGAATAAAAATTGGTTGTGGAGTTTCATTTCGGAGATTATAGATTGATCAAACATCGCGATATGAGATAAAAGAGAGCCGTAGGTTGCTGAGATTTTTTTTTTCATTTGGCTTCGGCTTTTTAGAGTAGCCATTAGCCATTTTCTTGCTGAGGTTTGCGGAAATAAAATGCAAAAGTATTTCAATTTATTCCTCACGTCAATCTCTTAAGTGTAACTGTCAGTCAAAATAATGTCAGTCAGTCAGTCATAAATCAATATAATGAAGCTTTACAATTCGATTTGTAAACAAAACACACTTTCGTCACATACTGAATATCTATTTAAAAAAAAAAACAATTAAAAGTATAAATTGTATTTAATACCTACATAGTTATATACAAAATGGACGTATCGAAATTATGCCGCAGTTGTATGAAGGAGGTCGCCTCTTGGGAGAAAGATAATTTTGATCCTAGAACCATTGAAATGTTTAGTTTCTGTACAAATATCAAGGTAAATACAATGCTACTTTCTAATAACATACTATCTATTAACATTATTTTTCAGATGGGACCTGAGCATTTAAAAAAGTCATTTGTATTTACAAGATCCAAATAATTATTTTAATGACAAATTAAATTGATAAGAACAGTATTTAAATGTACCTTATGTCTCATTTACATTATAGGAAGATGAACAAGATTCATCTGTGTCTATATGTATCTCACACACTAATATTTAAGTCTTAAAACAGTATGGGTTTGTTTTTGTGTGAAGGGCTTGATAGACAGATATGGCAATTAAAATACAGAGCATGGAGACATTTTTTTTTATACAACTTAGAATGGCAAACAAGCTGACGGCCCACCTGATGGAAAGTGGTAACCGTCACCTATAGACATGAGCAGTACCATGGACATAACAGAGTATACTGTTTCGCCAATGATACCCCCCATGCGTTGCCATTCCTGAGGACTCCGATGTTATTCCTCTGTACCCAGTAAATTCACACCTTCTGTCATATAGTCCTCAGATATGGCAATATGTAAAGGTTGGCATAAGTTTAAATAAAAAAAAAAAAAAACATTAATTTTTCTATAGGTTACAGAAGGAGACAATCTACCCCGACAATTTTGTTATGACTGCCTAGTCAGAATAGAATCATCATACACATACATAATGGAAGCCCAAAAAGTTAACATCACATTAAGAAATGTTGTCTCTCGGGCCACCAGCGTCATAGTGGAACCAGAAAGTTATTCAAGACACATCATCTCTAATAATATTAATCCAGAAAGTGCTACCAAAAACCTAATATCGCCTGATTATAAAATGAGTACCATAGACAATTTTGATGAACAAATCTTCTTCGATAATGTGGAGAATCAATTTGAAAATGATTTTAATAATAAAAATGATGAAAATGCACCACAGAAGATCACAGAGAATACAAATACAGAGATACCAGGCAACAAAGAAATCGTAAATGAGAAAGAGATGGAGAATATTGAAGAAACTAAGAAGAATGTGTGTCCGGTGTGTAGGAAAGGATTTACATCTAAAGCATGGTTTGCTAAGCATATGGAGAAGGAGCATACTGGGAATAAATATGCCTGTGCACACTGTCCTAAAAGTAAGTGACTTTTATTATCATGGTCAAATAATAATAATATACTTTATTATCCAGACTACAATGCGGTCCATTTTGTTAGTAACAATTTTCTTACAAACTATGTTAGTAAAAAAAAAAGAAAAGCAAATTGATTTAATTAAGCAGTTCACCCAGATGTGAGCCAGCCGACTAGATCAGCATCTGAATGAAATGTCCAATTGTAGGCGAGTTATATTTCTCGCCTATTACTTTTAGAATGCTGTTGGTGCTTGTCCTAACCCTGTGTAGCAATGATGCAGTCCTCTTTCTCCTTATAACGTAGTAGTCATCTATGGGAGATTGAGCAAACATGCTAGAAGCGCTACAAAAGCGAGGTAGCCCCAACAGCACTCTATTAAATAAGATATTTAAATAGATCTTAGGTGCTTATTTTCAATGAATGATTCATATATAGATAGTTTATAAAAAAATCATAGAATAGTTATTGAAAAATTTGGTTATTTGTAAATATTCCCAAAATTGCTAGCAATTGGGCAGGATTGTTGCTAACTCTGTTACTAATTAAATTCCTCCTCCATGGGCTACAAAACTTATTAATTTGCTTAAATGTGATATAATAGTTTGAATTTTCTATTCTAGTTTTTTAATTCAAATATTCAGCATTTTAAACCAAAATTAATTTTACAAAGCAAGGTGCATTATTTTCTTTTTTTCTCTTTTATTTTAATCATGTTTATTAAAATATCCTACCCACTTTAGCATTTCTTCAATTACACAGTAAATTTTCGAAATATACTTTTCATATTTTAAAAAGTTATGTTTAATTAAATTTCTATCACAGCATTTGCTAAGCGCTCTCAGCTGTCGTACCATGCAACTTCGCACTCGGAAGAGCGACAATTCGAGTGCACAGCACCCTCTTGCGGCAAGCGGTTCAAACGACGTAAACAGCTCGTGGCACATTCGCGGGCGCACGGTGATGCCAGACCATTTGTTTGTGATAAGTGTAACATGAGGTAAATGTGACATTTATTAATAATAATATACTAATATAAGCCTTTATTAAATAAGTAACATAATAAACAATTCAATGTAATTAATATTGAGTCAGTAACTGTTCTGTCACCTCTCTCTTGTCCAAAGACAAAGGCCTCCTCCAGAGTCTTCCATTCTATTCTGTCTTTGGCTATCCTTGTCCAAAGTGCACCTGCTACTGCTTTTATATCTGTAAGCCATCATGTCAATGGTCTTCCCTGTCTTCTTTGGCCTATTCTAGGGTACCAGTCTGTTACAGTTGTTGTCCATTTTTGTGTTTTTTCCCCGCACAATATGTCCTGCCCATCTCCATTTTATTTTTTTTATTGTATAGTATGTATTTTAATATTTTTGAATTTTGTTTTCTTTTTAATGTCTACTAATTTAACCCTATTCTTTATTTTTATGCCTTTTTTTTCTCTATTGTTTTGACATACTTTTAATTTTTTAAGATTTCTTTCAGTTAATGGCCATGTTTGACACCCATATGTAAGACAAGGCAATATGCATGTATCAAACACTTTCTTTTTGTCATTCATATATATATATATATATATATATATATATATATATATATATATATATATATATATATATATATATATATATATATATATATATATATATATATATATATATATATATATATATATATATATATATATATATATATATATATATATATATATATATATATATATATATATATATATATATATATGAATATTGGCGATTCTCCTGTCAGTCTCTTTGTGTCATTTGCTAGAGAAATTATTTGGCCCAGATATAAATATTCTTCAACATATTTAATGGGTTTGACAAATAAAATATAAAAAAGATGAAAACTAAACGCATTGTAATTCTAGAAGGAAGTATAAAATCTTGTGACTTCTTTTTCAGATTCAAAATAAAGAGTATCCTCAAATGTCACATGAAAGTCCATGAGGAGCAGAAGCAGTACTTGTGCTCGTTCTGTGGATGGAGTTTCAGTCAAGGTAAAAGAACTGTTGTTATTAGGTTAAATTTGATAATCTTAATTTATGTAAAGGGAACACGTAGCGCCATCTATTATCGCTTTGGGAATAACTCAGCGCACGCCATATTGGTATTTCTCTCTGATTTCGTCTGTCATTTGCGTTGCACGGCTAAAATATGTATTTAAAGTAAAATATAAGATTAATTATAACTCTGATCATTTCCAAGTGGAACATTGAGGCTTTTAGATCTCTATTGGTAACAAACCCTTTTCCCCCTCTAATTTCACTGTTTGAGCACATTGTATTTACTATCTGTATCCTCTCCATACAGCGGGCAATTTGAAGGTGCATTTGCGCGTACACACGGGTGAGAAGCCGTTCTCGTGCGAGCAGTGCAGTTTCCGCGCCGCCGCCGCTTCCAACCTGCGGCGCCACCAGCGGCGCCACTCCGGCCGTCCTTCCCACCTGTGCACGCACTGCTCTAAGGGGTTCTTCGACGCTAGCGCACTGGTGAGTAGTGTCTTTCTGTCTGTATTATTTAAAAATTCAAGTGTATGTGATTAGCGCTATCTCGTGGTTTAACGTCCCCGTCAATCGGTATAAAAAGTTTCCTATAAGGTAGGATTTTTATTTGTTTGCTAAATATAATTTGAATCTATTACAATATTACAAATATAATTCTTGCCTAAAGAGGCAATATTTTACCTGTTTTAACTAATTTTTTTTTAATTTACATGGTACAGAGGAATAACACCTAAATCCTCAGGAATGGCAACGCATGGGGGTATCATGGGCGAAACAGTATACTCTGTTATGTCCATGGTACTGCTCATGTCTATAGGCGACGGTTACCACTTTTCATCAGGTGGGCCGTCAGCTTGTTTGCCATTCTATTAGTTGTAAAAAAAAATGTTTAATGAATGAAAATGGAATGGTGCCCCACATGCGCTAACGGTAGACGCTGGCGGGGCACCAGTGAGGGATGATATGTGAGAATGAAAAGGCAGGTCAGTTAGCCCATCGTGATAAATACACCTGGACTTCAACACGATGGTTTCCAGGGGAGGGGACGTGGATGTCGACCTGACAGGGTATATTGCTTATAATGAGAGTAGTAGTCTATAGTATTAACGATCCTTTCCTCCCTACCAATATTTAGTATATACAACGTATTAGTTTTCGCCATTGTTTATATTGATTTGTTTGGAAACGTTTACTTAATATACATATGTACTAAAGAGTAAAGTTTGGTGGTATGTGTTCGCAGGCGCGGCACAGGCGCACGCACTCGCGCGAGCGGCCGTACGCGTGCCCGGGCTGCGCGCGCGCATTCGCCGACAGCTGGAAGCGGAACGTGCACCTCGCGCGCGCGCACCGCCTCGCGCTGCACCACCACCACCACCACCACCAGCACCACCAGCACCAGCACCAGCACCACTCGCCGCGACCGCGCCCCGCCGCACACTGCGCGCGATAGTGGCTGTTCCTCGCTCGCTGTCTCTCGTAATGTACAATGTAAATTGCAGTCTCTTTTGGCGCTTCTTTTTTTAATGGATTATAATGGAATAGTAACCCCGCCCGCGCTATCGGTGTACACTGGCGGGGCACCAGTGAAAGATGATAGGTGAGGATGAAGCAGGTCAGTTAGCCCACCGTGACTAATCTAACAATAAATCAATCAAGATGGTTTCCAGGAGGAACCACGAGGAGGTCGATCTGACAGGGTATATTGCTAGCAATGGGACTACTAATCCCTATTACTAACAATCCCTTCTCCCCCTATTTTCCGCGCTTAGCCTCTCATTTGGGCTGTTGTGCATATGAGAGTTCGCTGTCTCTTTCTAATTTAATCAGATCTTCGTCAAACATACAGACAAATGAACAAAATAAAAAATTAAGTAGGGCACTTAAATTGATCTTATTGAGATATCTCCCATGTACAGATATCGCCTAGTCATAATTTACATATATTTACAATTAAATACAACTTTCTTCCTGATAGATTAAGCACCCTTAAAACGAGGAAAATAATTGGCCACACATATACATAGTACTTCTTTGGAAATAAAAAACAATTGGCTAAAACATTATTTAATTCTATCTGTACAAGCCAACAGTCAACAGTAGTAATATATGATCTGCTTTAAAATAATAGTATACATATAATATAATATCTACATTATGTTTACCCAGCTATACAGGCGTATTACGTGAGCTAAGAGTCGATTCACTTACAAATGTCAGCACAAAGAATAGCGGATCGCTCATCTGACATTAAATTTCAAACATTTGAATTTAGAAGAAAAATGGCAAACGAATCTATAGACTAACCACTTATTCATAAAAACTAAAATCATTTACAAATCTATTATACTGTTTTTTCACTAATTCAAATTTAGAACACAAAGGAAAGAAACAAAACGGTTAAATAGTTTAATGAGAGGTTTGACGTATTTATGAATAAGGGAATACGTATATTTTAAAATGTATATATATATATATACACTTACACGAAAAAGAAAAAGACATATTGCCGTCTCACTCTAGGGACTGGCTATCGCTAACGATTCTATTGACAGATTCAATTATTACTTCTCTAAGGGAGTTGTATCATCCGCCCGATACTCAATTATATAATTTTGTTGGGTATATGAAATGAATATTGAGGTAAAATAATTATTTATTACAAATTTGAGCTATTAGGGCAAAAAATTTACAAAATGTTGGAAGTAATTTAACGAAGTTGGAAGTATAGTCAACATGTTACCCCCCCCCCCCCCCCCCACTTTTTATTTCCATGCATGTGACCATGTCTGCAATATACTCTGTTTATGTTTGTAAGGTAACACCTTCAGTAACGACCTGGCTAGAGGAGTATTATATTTCTTGGTCTAAATCTTATATTTTTACTCATACATCTTTAATTCAAACCCAAATTATAATAAATAAAATCCAAAAGGATTTTGGAGGGCCATGCTGTTATCATAGAGAATTTAAACTTATAAGTTTAAATTAATATTCTAATATCTAAAAGATTTACCCTTGTCTAATTTAGCTAATGTGAGTTTACGTATGTCTCGCTACAAGTACATCTAATGACTGGCTGGCTTTAAAACCTAGGAAGACGCAGCGGGTGTTTTTTTTTTTTATTGTGTCAAAATTTTTGGACTAATGCAACAAAAATAATATTTATATTTAACGGCCTTTTTAAAATACAACACTACAAGAGCCTAAGAATATTCTTAGCTATTACTTTGTTATATTAAAATTTTTATGCCATTGCAATACTTATGTTTTTTTTTACATGTTATATTTCTTCTAAATTACTATTAAATTATTGTTTAAAAATTGAGGTATTTTTTATTGGAAACTTGTTGTTATACTATTTCAATGCAATTAACTTCCAGCGACCTGTGATAATTACTTCACTTACTAATTCACCAGAGGGAGACTTTGTACAAAAGTCGATTGCTTGGATACCACTGTCCCATTCGTGTTTCTACCGTGAAGCAGTTGTGTTTGCACGGCTGTGTTTCGGTTTGAAGGGTGGGATATGGCGTGAATTTACAGGGTACAGAGGAATAACACCTGAGTCCTCAGGAATGGCCACGCATGGGGGGTATCATGGACGAAACAGTATACTCTGTTATGTCCATGGTACTGCTCATGTCTATAGGCGACGGTCACCACTTTCCATCAGGTGGGCCGTCAGCTTGTTTGCCATTCTAAGTTGTATAAAAACAATATTTGAAAGTATCAGCTATATCTGTGGACCAGCCCAACGAAATTGAGAACATTTGCAAATATAATTCATTATTAACGTCATCATTATCAGTCGTGAACCGTCCACTGCTGGACATAGGCCTCTGTAAATAAAAATATTTACATTAAACTACTATTTACTAAACCGTCTTTAAAAAAAAAGCGTTCACGCTCACTTTTTATCTTTATCCAAGCAGTAAGTGCTTTATATTATTCCCAAATTCGTGTATAATATAGTATATATCATATATGTGTGAGTATATTTGTTATTCATATATATTTATTCGTTTATATATGTAATTTTGGTATGTATGTATATCAATAATTACTAGTACCGCATTCGAGTATTCTGACACTTGCCTATGGTTGACTGGGAGAGAATGCTTTTAGCATTAAGTCCGCCATGTACACATATATGTACTAATGAATAAATAAAATAAATAATACATTTTTAACATGCTTCATCGAAACACATTCGTTTACAATAAATTCTGCAACTAATAGAAGACAATGTTGCCTGATAACCGACAGTTTGATTTAAATGGCGAAACATAGTGAACGTTAAAAAATAAACTGTACCATCATATTATCTATGGTTCTGGCAAATAAATTATTATTAAACTACAAATAATCGATCAATTAATAAATAATCAATAATCACATAGTATTTTTTTTAATAACTTAAGATTTTGTGTTTATAAAAACCGAACTTTAGTTATAGCAAAACCAATTAATTTAAAATCATATATTTATTTCCATGCGTGTGACCTGATCGTATAATGACGCTCATCAAAATGACCTTGACATATTTGTACTCAGTTATAATCAATATCGCAGACAATTGTATAAAATAATGTAATATTTAGAAATTTCTTATATAATTTTGTTTTGTTTTTTATTTAACTTTCTTTATGTTTATTTTTATGTTTAATTTTTTCACTAATAGTTGCAACCTAATGGCTTTGTTGCAGTCGCATTTATTATTGGATCATGCTGTGTGCACATGTTGTGGCAAGTTTACCTGATCAATACATTAATGTACTTGCATGTTATAATTTAAGTTTGTATTTGTAAACTTCTGTTATGTGCGCCTAATAAATAAAATAAAAATTAAACTTACTCAACCGATTTTGATAAAATTTCTATCGCACCAATCTGAAAGTGTATGTTTTCAGATAAAATCTAGAATGTACATATTTGACATTGTCGATCAGCATATACAATAAAGTATCTATCGACTCGGGTGAAATTCAAGTATTTTATTTCGTGGTTTAGCCCTTGAGGGCTCTTTCAAACGTCGCTTTTAAATTATATACCAGTAAGTACAGATTGTACCGTCAGACCAACAAAAAAGATATTAATTCCTACTTACAACACACTACCAGCTATGAAACCATCCTTCAATAATTTAATATAGTGACGCGATTCTAATTGCAATTCTCATGGCAACATTTTTTAACACACATACTCTTAAAATTGCTTTTTGTTGTTGGCCTGGATCAAACTACCACAGAGTCGAAGTCTCTACGTTATTTTAAAGTCGGCACTCTTATGTGACGAAACTAGACAAAAATTCTATGCAACCAATTAGAATAACCAACACAATAAAATAGATGGTTCGTAATGTTGTACAAGTGTTAATAATATACCCTAATTTCAAATATAAATATCAATAGATCTCACGAAAGTGTTAAACTTTTAAATTCAATGAACTGGTTGCATAGTTTTTTTTATTCACAATGACTCGAGCCCGTTACCTAAAATTTTTTCTACTATTTGTCTAGTAAACTTTATACAAGTGTCTCACTAGTATGTTGGCATCACAGTAAAATTTGTGGTTTCTTCATACAGTAACCTGTACGTTTTGCACTATGTTGGACCATTCGACCTTGGAAGGCACGAGGTAGAACGCCGGCGCCACCTTCTGTCCGCACGGGCATTTACAACCTGAAACAGAATTATGTTATATGTTATAAACAAAACAAAGAAAAATGATTCTTGTATGGAGCAAAATTAGGTTTCTTTTATTCTAACGCCTTGATCGAAAAGAAATCTCTGTTAAAAACTCTATAACTTAAAAATACAAGTTTAGTATTCTGTGTAAATAAAGACTACCAACAGCATAAAAACAAAAAGCAAATTTGAAAAATTAAGAACTTAATTTTCAAACCAAAAATATCTTATTACATGATAAATTACTACTTAAAGTGAAATACCGGGGTGTAAATGCAAATCTTGATCATCAGGAATAAGAATGCTTTAAGGCAGTGTTTCCCAACATGGGGCGCACTCCCCACAGGGGGGCAATTTGATAATTAAGGGGGGGGGGGCAATTAAAAAATAGACTCGAAGTGATTTTAATCCTCTTGCTCCGGATCATTTAAATGCAATGCTACGATTAGATATCGGTGCCAAATTTAACAAAAATAAAGTTAATAAAAAAATGTTTTAAATACTTAGGTATAATTTCGTTTGACGTTACCAAAATATCAACTGGGCGAAAATATAATAGAAATGTTCTAGTAGGGCATGGCACAAAAAAGGTTGGGAAACACTGCTTTAAGGCATCATCATCAGTTTTTTTTTTTTTATTGGTGAAAATGGTATGGTAACCCCGCCTGCGCTAACGGGATACGCTGGCGAAGCACCAGTGAAGCGTGATAGATGAGAATGAAAACAGGCCAGTTAGCCCAACATGATGAATTCATCAGGAAGTGTTAGACCTCATTACTAACAATCCTTCCCCCCCCCCCCCCCCCCAACAATATTTGTCTGTGCACATCTATGATGAAGTTGAAAGGAGCACATACCCATGACCCAGTTGAAGCTGCCGATTTTGTTCTGGCACTTGGGACAGTGCAGCTTGCCCTGCGTGTCGTGCTGCACCTCCTTCATCCAGGCCATCGGCTCCACGAACCACATCAGCCGGCAGACCTCGGGCGCGTCGCGGGCCGCTATGTTCGCGTCCACCATATTGCCCTCGCTGTACCCATCTAACACCTGCATATACAGATATGGAAGAAACTTTGCTATAAGTTCACTTTGTGTCTTTTATTACATTGTTTTTTTTTCTATAATCTTAATAATCACAAACATTAGTCTTGTATTCATTTTTTTTTTATACAACTTCGAATGGCAAACAAGCTGACGGCCCACCTGATGGTAAGTGGTAACCGTCGCCTACAAACATGAGCAGTACCATGGACATAACAGAGTATACTGTTTCGCCCATGATAAGCCCCATGCGTGGCCATTCCTGAGGACTCAGGTGTTATTCCTCTGTACCCAGTAAATTCACGCCATTTATTTATAGACGATGGTTACCACATGATTGACTAACACCATGCACTTTTGTCGTTCAAGTAATTATTTAGTGTGTAATAGGCTTTGTTCAATAAGTGTTTTTTAATAACAGTTTTAAACTTAATAAAAGGTAGATACAAAATATCCTTCGGTAACGTTTAATGTCCATTCCCATGAATGTGAATGTGAAAAAGACTATTTTCCGCGTTAAGCCTCTTATTTGGGCCGTTGTGCGTATGAGTCGTGGCTAGTACAGCCAACCTAGCTTCGCCCAGAAGCACAGAAGCTTCCTGGGTTCTTCACAGGCCTCACGGAGCGACTTCACCGTTCCGAGGATTTCTAAACGTTGATGGGCCACAGCCTCACATTCCAGGATTACGTGAGCAGCCGTTTCTTCGGCGTCGAAACAGCCGCGAAATAGCAATTTACAATTTCCTATTTATTGTTATTTCTATTTCTCGAGTGACAACACACAAAGAAATACTCTTTATTTAACTTACACTATCTTAAATCTAGTAAAATCTATATAAAATAACAGGGCTGTCTGTGGCTCCTATTGTGTATAAATGTTTGTTTAATGGACAATGTCCCGTTATTGTCCCTATCATTATTTTGAGGTTTTTTCTATCTCGATGTAATAAACGTTTTGATAGTCGTTGATTCAACGTAGGTACGGCCAATTTTGATTGTCTGCAATCAGTAGCCTGTATCCATCTTCGGTTTTATATGTCAGCGGTTCTTTGACGAATCGAACGGAAGAGGAAGAAGTGGATAAGGGCCTACCACCCTCGTTCCTGAGCCTCTTCTAGCTTGTCCATTCCCATAAAAGACCTATTAATTTTTCCTAGACAATACTTCCGAACAGCAATTTTATATTTCTATCTAGTATTAAGATTATTGAGAGCATTGTTTGTTAAGAAACAGTTGCAGTTTAATGTTCTATATTAAATCTTGTAATAAAGAAATCTCTCAAGTAATTAATTTGTGAATTTGTACTGTCTGAAATAAATTTATAGTTGAAATTTACTAAATTCAATACTGTTACCTGACTAGGTCCCTCGTCACTCTCGTGATTGCTGTCGCTTTTCTGGCTGTTGCTCTGTCCCGGACTGTTCAGGTCGCTGTACGTATCAACTTTTGTGTCCAAGATCTGACAGGCGAGACTCTTCAGCTTTTCCAAAAGGATCTCTCCGTTTTCAGCACAATTCAAGCCTGTGAGCTTGCTGGGAGGCGGTCGGATGCCTTTCTTGGCTAACTCCACCTTGACCTGTTTCGGTATGTGGGGTATGATATTGTTCTGACTGGCGACTATGCGACGACACTTCTTGCATCGGTACACGATAGGATCGGGTCTCTCGCGTATCAAGCCTGGGTCCGGTTTCACCAGATCCGCAAACATTTGCGGCAGAATTTTCACTGGAATTAACAATGATAATAAATAAAACAAAAAATACTGTGTTCTTGAATAAATGAATGAACAAGTATACTTTATTTGCATTATACAATATAGGAAATAAACAAGACAATTTACAAACACAACGATACAATTGTATAAGTACAGTAAGGCGGTCTTATTGCTGAGAGCAATTTTTTCAAGACAACCTTAGGGTACTGGGAGGAAAGGGACTGTTAGTAATGGGGTCAAATAGCCCCATTACTAGCAATATATCCTGTCAGGTCGACCTCCACGTGGTTCCCCCTGGAAACCATCGTGAACAATTCTTGTTGAATTCGTCACGATGGGCTAACTGACCTGCTTCATCCTCACCTATCATCCTTCACTGGTGCCCCGCCGGTGTATACCGATAGCGCGGGTGGGATTACCATTCCATTATCACCCATTAAAAAAAAACCTTATGGTACTGAACTAAATGTACAAGTACAGTATGTATGATAATATTGTTTAATTAAGTCAGCTTGTTTGCCTTTATAAGTTGTATAAAAAAAAAGTATGCATATTGGAGAAGGCTTATGATCAACAGTAGACCGTTAATAGCTGAAATGATGATAATGATGATATTGCACAGCGCCATCTAGTGGCAAACTATACAAAGCTTGCACTGTGGGTAATTCACTACAAGTCAATAACGTAGATTAGCTCTATTTATTTATTTTATAACTATTTCTGTCCAAACCTATAGAAAAAGATAAGAATTTAAATTATTTATAAAAATATCTGGCAATTACAAATAAAAATAAACCAGATATACCTTGCTTTAATTTTTGCCCAGCCATTTTCAACCTAAACTGCTTGTATCTAGGGTCCTCTTTGTTCAGCATGAAACCTATATGGCCGAAAAGTTTCAGTTGCGCCACGAACCCCACGTTGGGGCTGATGAACCGTCGCTTGCTCTTCACCAGCGTGAACGCGTCCTCGTAGCACAGACCGTACTTCTCCATTATGTAACCTATCACTATCGCCGCTGAACGGGACACTCCAAAGTAACTGAAAATATTGGAATAAATGAATATCATTGAACATCTCACACAACGCCATCTAGTGTCAAACTAAGCAGACCTTGTACTATCGGTGTACTAGACCAGTGTTTTTCAAAGTGTGGGTTGCGACCCCTTGGGGCGTCCCCGAGCCTCTACAAGGGGGTCGCGGAAAGATAGATAGATAGATAGACAATTTATTTACATTACTTACAGCACACAAATTACAATAAAAAAAAACATACACGTAATAAACAGCAAAAGAGACAAAAGAATAAAAATAAAAAAAGCACAAATAAAAAAAAATACAAAAACAAAATACATAATCTAACAATCTCCTTTGTTACCATTCCTTCATGAGTGTGCCATAGTAAGTAGAAAGGTCGCGAAGCAGTGAAAAATCAACAGTTCCATAAATACATCAATCAAGTAAATACATATAATGAAGTATCTATACCAGACATTGATTACTGTCTGTCTGTTTTAGATACTTTATTATGTATTATTTATTTTATCGATATCTAAATGTGAATATAAATACAACTGTACGGATTTCATAATTGTACTATAATAAAATTATATTATTACATACACATTCGAAATCGTGGACGGTAGGGGGTCGCAAGATATTTTTACATAATAAGGGGGTCGCGTCATGAAAAAGATTGAGAAACACTGTACTAGACAATTAAATAAAATTATTTAAGTATGGTTAAATATGTAACCAAAAAATCCTCAATAAAAACATTTTGACTCATGAATACAAATGAACTTAATTAAAAGAAATAACTTATATATATTCTTTATTGCACTTGTAAGTTACATATAAAATAATGTATTTATAAATATTGTGAGCAAGGGTGGACTTATCTCTGACAGAGATCTCTTCCAGTCAACCCCGTACAGTGAGAAAGCATTTCGTTAGCGGGCAGCTGAAGTGCTACAACTATTAATACATAAACAAATATACAGTTAAATAAAATATTGAAATATATAATAAAATATTACATAAATACATACACTATAAATACATATAATACCCACCTACTTATATAATAAATGTTAAAATAAATTAATATACTACCTACATTAGAAATTTAGTTTAATGATTTTAAGATTTGACAGTTCAATTAGAAAATTTATATCTCTTGAATGAATGCAGAGTATACTAATGTTCTCATATAAAAAAATCTTTTTATTTTTACTATTGACGTATCGTCAGCGAAGTTCTAACAGTATGTAAGTCGAACTAAATAATATGCTATTTCTGTTTTTATCATATTAAGTTTTTTAACAATAGGTTTTGATATAGGGCACTATGTTTAAAATCGTGATTTTTATTATTTCAAATGATCCACACTACTCAGTGGCGTAACATTAGGGTGGCAGGGCTGGCAAAATGCCACGGGCCCCCGACCTAAAAGGGCCCCGGCTCAAGAGGCCGCGAGGTCAGAATTTTTTTTTAAGTTTTTTTTTTTACAACACAGGGGGCAAACGAGCATGCGGCTCACCTGATGGTAAGTGACTACCGCCGCCCATGGTCACCCACAACACCTACGGCATTGCGTGGGTGCTGCCGGCCTTTTAAAAAGGAATATGCTCTTTTCTTGAAGGTTATGGTGTCGTATCGGTTCGGAAATACTGTTGCTGGAAGTTGATTCCAAAGAGTGGTTGTGCGTGGGAGAAAGTGCCTTGAAAAATGCACGGTGGAGGACCGCCACTCGTCCAGATGGTTGGGATGAAATTTTAGTTTATGGCGGGTTGTACGATGGTGAAAATCTGCAGCAGGTATCAATCCGAACAATTCTTCAGAGCACTCCCCATGATAAATTCGGTAGAAGATGCACAGAGATGCAACATCTCTACGCAGTTTCAGTGGGTCGAGCCGGGCAATAAGACGCCGATCGTCAATTTTATTTTACTTGAAAATAAATTATAGGGCCCCATCAAAAGAATTTGCCACAGGCCCCAAATGGTATAGTTACGCCACTGACACTACTCAACAACTAAATTAAATTAGAATATAAAAATTGCAAAAAATTATTCACATACTATTAGAATTTTTCTGACAATATTTTTATTAAATTCTTTGCATTCATTTTTTTCTTATACAATTTAGAATGGCAAACAAGCGGTCGATCCACCTGATGGAAAGTGGTAACCGTCGCCTATAGACATGAGCAGTACCATGGACATAACAGAGTATACTGTTTCACCCATGATACCCCTCATGCGTTGCCATTCCTGAGGACTCAGATGTAATTCCTCTGTACCCTGTAAATTCACGCCATATCCCACCCTTCAAATCGAAACACATTTGTTGTCCATTAAAGAATACAGAACCCGTACACCCTGAAGTTTCTCAGAGGAAGTTCAGTGCTACCTGCATGAATCATGTGCCTGCAACACCCATGAGATGCACTCCTATTCAACCATGCTTGTCTGCCATCTGCATAACTCAGCTGTATTTTTTATATATGTTATGCAATATATTTTTAATACTTTATAAAGTGATTTTAATGATTCTTTTTGGATTAAAAGAGTGTACTCATTAAAAATTGCAATTGGTAACCCGCCTGCCAAGCATGGCAACTGCTCTCAAAACCCCCTAAGGGGGAGGCTTATGTTCAACAGTGGACAGTTAAAGGCTCATATGATAACTCACTAAAAATTATTATATTACTCACCAATGCACCAACACCGTGCCCCCCTTAGAGACAGCTTCTTTGATGAAGTCATTAGTTTCAGGCAGGTGACTTATCAAATCTTCTTTGGGCACATCAGCCACTGCAATAATAAAATACATATATTTCCACAAATTGCACCAAATTATTTTTTAATGTAACATCTTGTCACAACATTAGCAGTCGGAGACATTTAAATGTATTAAGTGAATAATACTAGTAATGAAAGATACTAGAGCAGTGATTCTCGACCTTTTTTTTTGTTGTGGCACATATTTAACGATTTCAAAATTTGGCTGCACACAAAGAAAAAGTTAAAAATTATTTACTTACTATAATAACACACTGCATAAATAGTTTAAGACAAAAATTTTAAATATTTGCAAAATTTGGCGGCACACTTTTAAAATTTGGCGGCACACAAGTGCTGCGGCACAGTGGTTGAGAATCACTGTACTAGAGGAAGAGTTTGTACAAAAGTTGTTTGTTTGGGTACCTCTGTTCCATGCATGTTTCTACAATGAAGCAGTTGTGTTGGCATGGCTGTTTCGGTTTCAAGGATGGGATATGGCATGAATTTACAGGGTACAGAGGAATAACGCCTGAGTCCTCAGGAATGGCAATGCATGGGGGGTATCATGGAAGAAATAGTATACTCTGTTATATCTATGATACTGCTCATGTCTACATATAAGCGATGGTTACCACTTTCCATCAGGTAGACCGTCAGCTTGTTTGCTATTCTAAGTTGTATAATTAAAGTAATTATTGATAAATAAATATTTATGTTTAAAATAATTTTTACATGTACTCTCCTATGGTCTGTGACAGTACTTGATTAACATATACATAATAACCAAATACTCATAACTTACATTTGACATATTTAAAGGTAATATTGGTACGGTCGAGAGCTGTCCGTGGCAGAGGCACCACATCTATGGTCAATATGTGGGTTACCTGCAACTTCTCTAATGTCTTGTTGTCTCTGGCGCATGCTAGATTTCCTGAAAATTATAAACAAAATAATATATAGCCTCAAAATCAATGAGACAATTGATGTGACAAAGCAAATTTTACTAGAAAGATACTATGTATTTGGTTTTTTTTTCAGTAATTTCTGCTTGAGAGTAGCTATACTTGCATGGGTTTCTTTGAAGGTTGCGATATAGCAGTGAATTTACAAAGTACGTAAGTATTTATTTATTTCTTATTGCATTCCATAATGTGGTTGGTATATAACAAAACAACTCCAATTATAGATTGCGCACAACAAATAGGAGAGAGGAGGGCAACCTTTTCTTTTTTTTATTTTAGAAACAGTTAATGAGTTTATTACAATATTATCCAATCATTAAAATTGTTTCATAATAGGTAAGTATTTTACAAAAACACAGTGGGTTTAATAATTTCTATTTATATACATAGACATCAAATAATATGAACAAGTTTAAAAAATACTAATACAAAAAATTTTGGTGTTCCTCATAAACCCTCTATTAGCCTAAGACATCTTCGACTTATATACAATATTTCATTCAAATCTGTCCATCAGTTTATGTATATTGGATAACAAACATAGAAACTTATTTGTAAACATTCTGACTAAAAAAACAATAATAAAAATCACTGACCTAAATACAGCCCGTCGTCTATAAGATCAACGCTTACGTCCAGATTGTCATCCTCTAGATAATCCTGCGAGTCCGAGGCATGGATCTGGACATCAGCCACCTGCTTTGCCATTTATTTGCTGCAAAATTAATTTCTCACTAATATGATTTTTAATAATTATAAAAATCGTTACAAGTTTTAGCTATAATAGAAATAAGTAACCTTGCTAATATTACTTGAAATTTTGATTAAATACTCCAAGTTAGTAGGTTTTTAACGTTGTTTACATTGCACATCAAAAAATCAATAGAATTTATTTCATGTTGCTGTTCGAATGACACTGCAAAACTTTAAAAAGGTAATAAGAATACGCTAATTAGTGCTTCCAATGTTATTGTTTTTTATTGTTATTATAATTTAAATCAAAAGCAAGCAAACAAGTATAAAATTTGATTTTAGTGGGAAGTTGCGAGCGAAGTGTGAAGCTAACATTATCTTTGACAGCTGAGTTTTTTTTTTTTTTTTTTTTTTTTTCTTCTTTTGTGGCGTTCACCCCGATATTAGGGTATTTTGCCAAGAACAAAACGGGGAAACGATAATAGTAATAAAAATACCTAACACAAACGAATTTAGAAAGGATAAGGATTAGGTCTAGGATATTTATAGGATATGAAACATATACTTGTACATATGAGAATATACTTATAAATATATAGGAAAAGCAATTGATGCAACTATAAATGTATTCATGTAATATAACTAAATCTTAATATTGTTATCATATATATATGAAGATAGTATTTTATAGATAATAGGATCATTGGAAGAAAGTAGAGTAAGAATAGAAGTTGGGAATGGAACACGGATGGATCGGAGATGATTAAAAAGGGAGGTGTGGTCAAATTTAGAACATGAGAAGAATATATGATTCAAGTCCGCCACTTCAGCACCGCAATTACACGACGAACTTTGTACAATACCAAGCTTGTATAAATGAGAAGGTGTGCATACGTGACCTAGACGCATACGAGTTATAATAGTTGTTGCGGTCTTTCCAAGCTTTAATTTACAAAACCATGGTTTGAAAGGAATATCGGGTTGTATAAGGCGATAAAATCTTCCTTTTATTGTACTTGTTTTTTCCCAATATTCCTTCCAGGCATACCTTAAATATATTTTTGGGAGACAAGCTAGGTCACTACAGTAATTATGATACGGATACATATCACCACAAGTTACAGCCTCTCTTGCAATAAGGTCAGCTTTGTCATTGCCGCTAATACCACTGTGTCCTGGTAACCAGGCAAAAGAAACGGAATACCCTCTCAACATGCAAAGATAAAGACTTTGTCTTATGTCACAAATAATGGGATAAACTGGTTTTGATTTAAACGGATATTTGGCTAGAGCTTGCAAAGAGCTCATAGAGTCAGTGAAAACTATTGCCTTATGTAATTTCATTAAAAGTATATATTCTACAGCTTTTAAAATACCATAGCATTCCCCGGTAAAAACTGAAGACTCCGGTGGAAGTTTAATTTTTTGAACGATATTAAATTGTGAATGAAACACACCCACATCTACACAACCGCTATTGTCTGGTTTTGATGCATCAGTAAAGATGTAGTGCCATTCATTCCATTCAATGTCAGTTATAAACATAAATTTGGCATTCAATTCTGAATCATTTTTTGATAACCCAAAATCATATTTAATATTAGGAGATAAAACTAAAGATTGATATGAGCATTTATAAATGGGAAAACAGGACGATGTAAAAGTGGGAGATTCTATGGATTTATATTTTTCATAACTTTGTATTAAACATGGAGGTTTTTTATGTTTCCAATAGGATGGAGACGAAATAAAGATATATAGTTGAGATAACTTTTGAATAAGCGGATGATTAGATAATTGTAAACAACGAAAAAAGAAGCGATCAGATAAATATTGCCTTCTTAAAACCAAAGGTGGATCACCGACTTCGAGCTGTAAAGCATTGATTGGACTTGATTTCATTGCTCCAGAGATAATCCTCAAGGCCTTTGATTGAATTAAATCCAATTTCTTAAAAGCAAATGAACTTCCTGGAGCTAACAAAAAAGTTCCATAATCAATGACACTCCTTATAAGACCATTATAAGCAAGTTTTAGTGAAACGGGATGTGCTCCCCACCAAACTCCAGCAAGGCACCTAAGAATGTTGAGGTTACGCTCACATTTCGTGGAAATATAATTACAGTGGGACAGACCTGTTAATTTATTATCTAGCACGATACCTAAAAATTTAATTTCAGTCTTTATAGGAATGTATGAGTTATCATAAAGCACCTTAATTTGTTGCGGTGATCTCATTCTTGAAAACAAAACTACACTACTCTTGGTTACAGAAAGATTAAGACCATTTGCATCTAACCACGTTTTTAACAAATCTAATGAATCAGATAATTTGGCAGAAGCAGATTCTATGGACTTCGCAATAAAATATAATAAAAGATCATCAGCATATTGTAAAATTTTGACGGATTTATCAAGGAATAATTCTAGATCGTATGTGTATATGTTAAATAAGATTGGACTGAGAACAGATCCTTGTGGAAGGCCTTTCCATACTGTTCTAGATAATTTGGTATCTTCATCTAAATTCATATATATTGTTCTTTCTGATAAAATATTAATAATGAAATTAGAAAGCATTACCGGTACATTTAGAGCTTGTAATTTAGTTTTTAAAATAGAAATTATTACATTATCATAGGCAGAATTTATATCTAAAAAGGCTGAGAGGATTGACAAATTTTGTGAGAAAGCTATATGAATATCTGAAATAAGAATGCTCACATTATCTAAGGTGCTCTTACCTTTCCTAAAACCAAACTGGTTCGGGGATAGTAAGTTATTACTTTCTAAAAACCATTCTAGACGGTTCTTCACTAAATGTTCAGCTAGCTTTAGTAAGACAGAGGAAAGTGCAACAGGACGGTATGAAGATGGTTCAGAAGGTGGTTTATGAGGCTTTAGAAATGGTATAATAATCTGAGACTTCCATGAAGTAGGTATATTTCCCGAAATAATTATGGAATTAATTATATTTAAAAAGTAAATTAATGTCGCATCGCTAGCATTTTTAAAAAAGGAATACGGTATACCGTCTTCTCCCGGTGCAGAGTCTTTAATACAAGCTAGAACACCTTTAAGTTCTACAAGAGTAAAAGGAGACTCAAGTTCGGATAATTCGTCAGAGACGGATAGAGAAATATTGTAAAGGCATTCCGGCACATAACTAGGAGCAAGGCGATCTAAAAATTTATTCGCTAAAGTTAAATCGAGTGCAGAACGTGATGTATGATCACTAAAGGCAGATCTGAATCTTTTAATATTATTCCAAACGACTGATGAATTAACTTCTGGACAGATAGAAGAACAAAATCTTCTCCAACCTTCCAATTTCTTTTTTTTCAGTAGTTTTCGAGTAGAACGTGAAACTGCGGTGTAAATTTCAAAATTTTCTGATGTCATGTAATTATTATAATTTTTTTCAGCCTCTTTACGATTTTTAATTGCTTCCGTACAATCTTTGTCCCACCAAGGTGGGGAGGAATTTTCCCTGAAGCACTATTTTTAACAGGAAATAATAAATCAGCAACCTCCTTCATATTAATTATCAAGTCATTACAACATTGATGTTCATTTCCATGATAAACAATAGGTAACTCCGATATTTTATTATCTAAATATTGTTTGTAAATATTCCAGTCTACATTTGATAAATTATATTTAAGTCGAGGACCACTCTTTCGACTTGAGGGAATGGAAATTGGAAAAGAAAGAATGAGGGGAAAGTGATCGCTTCCGAAGGTAGAGGAATGAGGATACCACGACAGTGAAGAAGCTAAATCAGAAGAACATATTGAAATATCAGGAGCACTAAACCCTTCATTCGGTGCAGTTCTACGTGTCGGTACATCTGAGTTAATAATACATAAGTTGTAAGTGTCAATTATCGTCAGGAGTTTTCCACCATAAAAATTAGAAGTAGAACTGCCCCACGATTGGTGCTGAGCATTAAAATCGCCCATTACGAGAAAAGGTTTAGGTAAAATTGAAAATAATTGTTCTAGTTGTGAATATATTTGGCATGTAGGATCAGGAATATATAAAGTAACAAAACAGATACCATTTATAATTATAGCAGCTGCATTAATGCCGCTATATACAGGAAGCGAAAAGAAGAAAAAGGAAGGGAGTTTTTGACCAATATGGCAACACCGCCATATCCGTCAGCTCTATCATCACGGAGACTTGTAAAGCCTGAAATCCTAAAAGGATATCCTGGCTTTAACCAAGTCTCTTGTAGAGCTATTATAAAAGGATTATATTTATTAATCAAATAAAATAAGTCTGATTTCTTATTTGTTATGCTACGACAGTTCCACTGAATTATTTGGACTTTGTAATCCATTGTGAGAAGTTAATAATTGAGAAAATACATTGTACATGGCATCGTTGGACGGTGGTAAAGTTGTTTGTATCATTTTTGATTGCGATAACACTTTAATAAGCATGAGAATAATATTAATGATGGATTGATTATTGTCAATATTATTTGATGATAATGCACAACCATTAGAGGGAGCAGGAATATTATATTCCTTAACTATGGCTTCATGGGCAGAACGATCATATCCTTGTTGTATTTTTTGAGGAGAGCGTGGTTTAAGTGTAACTGTTTTTTTATATGATGATTGTATATGTGGTAATGATGATTTCTCTTTAAGGAAAGAAGATTGAAAATGAGATTTATTGGAAGGAGATGATGATGTTAATACATCTGAATATAGTTTAGAAGTTGGAGGATGAAATTTTGATGCTTCAGCATAAGAAACACAACTATGGGCCATTGTTTCTTTAATGGCTTTCTGACGTGCATATTCAGGACATTTTTTACTAATTGCTGAATGAGAACCATTACACAAGATACAAGAAACATTTTCCTCATCTACTTCACATTTATCACCTGTATGATTTTGCCTGCATTTATAACACCGAGGATTTGAACGACACTGCATCTTGACATGTCCGAACCTACAGCAGTTATAGCATTGGATAGTAGGGTAAATGTACAAATCTACAGTTAATGATGTGTAAAACATAAATACTCTTTTTGGCAATATTTGTCCATCAAAAGTAATAACAATGGTTTCAGTATTAATAAAACTTGGTTGTCCTTCATTAATTGTCTTTTTCTTTATTCTTCTGGTTTTTAGAATTTTCCCACAACCTATCGGTACTGATATATTTTGGATTACTTCCTCTTCTGTCCAATCTTTAGGAATACCCCTCACAATTCCCATACGGGTTACATGGAAAGAAGGTATAAATGCCTTAAAATTATGTGTCACTAAGTTACTATTATTTAAAAATGCATTTGCATTTTCAAAATTTGAGAAAGAAAGCGATAAACGGTTTCTTCCTATTCTTTTGAGGCTA